AACAGACATTGATTCCTGCTCTCTGGTCACATGAACTCCATTGTAAGTATATAAATAATAATAAATAAATAGCATCATTTTGTAGAAGGTGACACATACTATGGGGAGGGTGTTGAGCAGGGAATAGTGGGGCTAACGTGCTAGGTGATGATGGGGTGACACTGCTGCTTGGCTCAAAAACTTTATTACTCATCTATCATCTTATTGTAATTGTTTCTGTTATTGAAAGAATGGAAGGATGGGTTCTTTTTCACCTGAAAATGTCTTTTTTTGCCCTCACTATTAAGTGACAGTTGGTGAGGAAGAGAAATTTAACTCAAAATTATTTTTCCTCAGTATTTTGAAGATGTGTTCCCTGGTCTTTTATCCATCCATTATTTCTGATGAGAAATATGATGCCAAAGTGATTTTAATTCTCTTATAAAATTAATCTATTTCCTGCTTCCTCTTTATGATTCCTTTCTAGACTTGCTGTTTTAAAATGTAACTATCACCTACCTAGATATTGGTTTTAAAATATATTTTTTTTAATCTTGGCGCTTGATAGATTTCTCCTGCCAAATAACTTGCAACTTTTTTTTTTCCAGTTCTAGGAAATTGTTACTATTATTTCTTTTAAAATATTGTTTCTTACATGCTCTCATCTCTCTGAAATTCCTTTACATTGAATGTTGGAACTTTGGGATTTAGCCTTTATGTCGCTCAATTTTTTGAATTTTCATTTAAAAAATCTCTATTCTGCATTCTAGAAGAATTATATATGTGTAAATATATATGTGGATATGTTCATTATAAATTCCACTTTACTAATTCCCTACTTTTATTTAATCCCAATTCAGCCAATGTACTGAAAAATTATGTTACCATTTCCTGAATATTTAATAATTGTTATTACTTTTTGCTGTTTTATAACATTATTTGTTTTCATAGATATAATTTCCCATTATATTTGTGAAGATATCTAATACAACTATTTAAAATTATTCTCTCTTTTTTCTTGTAACTCTGGTTCCTTGGGTATAAGCACAAGGGTACTTGGAGAGTAGCAGAGTCAAGTTTCGTCCAAAGCAGCATATTTTAAAATCTATTCGGTGAATCATAATGGTGGTTAAGTCTATGAAGAAGGGTACAGGAAGGAGAAGTTTAGGTGAGAACAAAACTCTTGGTTTTAAGCAAGCTGTCCAGGGCTTGCTTCGCTATATAACCATGCAGGCCCTGCACTCCCCATTTTCACCGTCAGCCTCCCCTGCCCTCAGGTTTATTTCTCCTAATACCAGAATCCCGTTGTACTTCTGGGTGTAAACTCCTGCCTCTGTTGATCTGTGGTGAGTCCACTTTTATGGTCTTCATCCTGACTTGGGGAGGACTCCTGCTTGATAACTGACTGCATCGGACTCCCAGCCCGTGTCTGGGCATTTGGCTCTGTAGCTGACATCTTTTCCTCTGTAGCAATTACTGTGCTTTGTCACAATTGCCAGTGGCCCCCTTCCCGGAGGCTTCTGGCCCCGATGCACAATGGCTTCCTATGCTCCCATGGAGGCACTGGTTTACAATTCTCAGCTTACCTCTGGACCCCATATATATGTTTATGTGATTATTTATATTTATTTATCTTAGGGATCCCCTGCAGCCTCATAA